AAACTGGATGTTTGTAACTGATACCAAGTCAACCAAGACTTTCCACACTCGGGACTGTTGTACAAAACCATTCAGCGAGAGCATTACTGAAACTGGATGTTTGTAACTGATACCAAGTCAACCAAGACTTTCCACACTCGGGACTGTTGTACAAAACCATTCAGCGAGAGCATTACTGAAACTGGATGTTTGTAACTGATACCAAGTCAACCAAGACTTTCCACACTCGGGACTATTTAACAAAACCATTCAGCGAGAGCATTGCTGAAATGGCTGTTTGTACGTTATACCAAGTAGACCAAGACTTGCCACACTCTGGACTATTTAACAAAACCATTCAGCGAGAGCATTACTGAGATGGCTGTTTGTCACTTATGCCAAGTAACACAAGACTATCCTCACACGATACTGTTTTACAAAGCCTTTCAGCGAGAGCATTACTGAAATGGCTGTTTGTATGTTATAACAAGTCGACCAAGACTTGCCACACTCTGGACTGTTTAACAAAACCATTCAGTGAGAGCATTACTGAAATGGATTATCTACTACATGGACGTTTTTTTAAAAACTATACAGCAAGAGCTGTACTGGTATAGTTTTCCACTCATGTCAAGCGACATTCGACTTTAAAAGTATGTCACATGACGTACGGCACATGATACACGATACACGATACACGATACACGATACACGATACACGATACACGATACACGATACACGATATGAAAGGATATGGAAATGTTTGTTACATCCTTTAGTATTCAATCTGCGGTCATCATTCATCAGACTTCAGACTAGAAAGTTTCTTTACAAAGTAAATGCGACGTCACATACTTTAAGGCGCTACTCGTTTAAAGCGTAGTTGAAAAAATTGGCTGTCATACGTAATTGTTCTTCTGTTCCGTATAATACTGGTCCAGCTTGGTTTTGCATGAATAATTCCCTGGCTTCAAATAAGTGTGGACACACCGACAGGTGTTCAATTGTTTCTGTATCCCTTTCGCAGTGCCTGCAGAGGCTTGTGCCCATCTTCCCCATCAAATGCAAATATGAATTGGTTGGGCAGTGACCGGTCCTTAACTTGGAGATGATGGTCTGTTCCATCCTCTTTAGGCGCCACCATGCGTCTGATGATGCTGATGCTGGCTCTTTCAATGCGTTCCACACCTTTCTCCCGGTGGTCTCATCTGCCCATTGTTTTGTCCATTCATTTTTGATTTGGGCTTTTATAATGGCCTTTGCCGCTTCAAGAGATACTTTTCTGTCATCCTGTTTTGGGTGTGTGTGTGCACTATCCTTTGCCATGTTGTGTACTTTATTATGCACTTCATTATTTGAATGGGCAGGGATCCATTGGAAGATGAGTTGGATGTTGAAGGTAGTGGTTATTTTCCTAATGAAACTATTAATTTTAGTCAGTTTTGGTACTGGCAGATTTGATAGTAGGTTCTTTAGGAAACTTTGACAGTCTGTGAAGATAACACAATTGTATGGTATGATTGCATTATTTGAGAAAGATTCATGAATCACTTTCAGTGCAACTTTTATGGCTTCATATTCTGACTCTTTAGAGGTGGAATGTATACCACAAACGCCCGACAATTCAAGGGGCGGTGTTTTTTGGTCAAGTCTCCAATTTATGAAAATTCCGTACCCGGTGCCATTTGCACATTTGGCTCCGTCGACAAAGATGTGGTGGTAGTCTGCAGTGCTGAAAGACTGTATTATGGTTGACGCTCTGACATCGTTGTCCGGGTCACCCACACATCCATCAGGTACATCACATCGTACGAGCATGTTGATGTTTAAATCGGGCCTAGCTTTAGGAACGTCGCGTATTTTCTTCCTGTTTTGAGGTATGTTAAAGGTGCTTGTTCGTTCAAGTGCGAAGCAGTTGCTCAGGAAAGACGCCTTATTTATTCTATTATGAACGGTTTGCTGAGCCATTGAATGTAACGGGTCGTTTATGTTTAGGCGCCTGTAACGCTCGATGGTGATGAGTTGAGCTTTCTTTCTAGTTAAATGGAGTGGCTCTATTCCAGCTAATAGTTCGCCTGCCGCTATAGGTGAGCTCTTCATTGTACCTAATATAACTCTGATTGCTTTGTTTTGTATTGTATCTATGTTGTTTAGGCACGTGGTGCTCAATAAATTTTGTATGGGCAA